TCCAAGGAAACTATTACTGTAATACCTTTTCATGTTGCCTCAGTAGTGGGTTGTTTTCCAGGACGTAACGGTGTTTTTACAAGCTATGTTGAGTTTTCCAGTTTCTGAGTAAGTTTGATCTGGCAACAGTTACTCATACCTAAATCACATCATATATAGATTACTACAGTATATAGGACCCTGCTTTTAAGAATATATGGAAGCTACAATCATTTCAAAAGGCAGCCACTATTAATTGGTACCCAGTATAAAGATTGTACTAACAATTACTGTATTTTTCGGAGTATAAGACGCACCTTCCTTTTTTGGTGAGGAAAAGAAGAAAAAGAAATCTGCCTCTGCCTCTGAGCAATTTTGCCTCATTGCAGCAAACAGCAAACAGCCTGCTTTACTTTCATTTTTGTTTTCAGCATAGCTTGATTAGCACAAGGAAAAAAAAATCTGTTCCAGCAATTTACGTCTTTGCAGCAAGCAGCAGAGCCCTGCGCAGAACAGCTGCGAGCAAATCAGCTGAGAGTCGGGAGGCCGATCCAATCAACTTGTGCTAATTAGCCTGTGGTGAAGCTGAAAGGAGCTGTTTTTTCTTGCTGTTTGCTTGCAAGGAGGTAACTGCTGCAAGGCAGAGACCAAAGGGTGGGGGCCAGTGAATGGGCGGGGCTACATTCGGTGTATAAGAGGCACCTAAATTTTTACCCCCTTTTAGGGGGGAAAAAGGTACGTTTTATATTCCGAAAAATACAGTATGTTCCGTGCTCAAATCAAGAAGGTTGCCTTAAGTTTTGATGTACAGTACTGAATGATTTGAAATTCTACTTCCTATTGCATTATGAACTTGTCCAATTATTAAACTGTGTCTAATTTGAGCAAAACTTCCTCTTCTCCCATCCCTCCCCACAATGGCTTCACTTTTCAGAATATCAAAAGGCGCTTCTCCTGTAGTGCTCTGTGGATGATCATCTACCTCTACTCTCTTTGATATTGGATTGAAGAGCTAAATCACATCACGTTAACTGGCTTATTAGCTTAATCTAGTAAATAGCTGGTTTGTTTGTTGTGTTTATATGCCACCAGATTCAACAGAGAAGACTCTTGGTGGTTTATAATATTAAAACATAAAGACCAATAAAAACTTAAGCAGTCATAAAAGTGTTAAGTAATCATTCATTTCTTGAAGCAACTCTGATATTTTCCAGAAGATCAGCAATGAGGGTACCGATCCATTCTCAAGGAAGCAGAATATGTTAAGGCGATGGGATAGAAATTAGCAGAACATGATATCTAGTCATACCTTAGGCATAAAGCTAATTGGCTTTCATGCCTAAAGTGACCTTGGACAATTGGACAAGTCTCTCTTCTCAGGGCAGGAAGAAGAAATCAATGGCAAACCAGTTATGAAATCTTGTCAAGCAATGATTTGTCCAGAGAGCCACAAGGGATCAACATTGGAAACACACACACACACACACACACACACACACACTTCTTTTATCTTTTTGTACACACACACACACACACACATATATATATAATTTCAATATGATTTATGTAAATATATTTTCAATATGATTTATGCCTCAATGTGTTATACGGGCTCAACCAATCAGCAAATGATGATTACACTAATAAATGGGTAAATATATATCTCCATCTCCATATATTAGTGCCGTGATGGCGAACCTTTGGCACGTGTGCCAGAGGTGGCACGCAGCACCCTCTCTGTGGGCACGCGAACCGTTGCCTCAGTTCAACTCTGTTGCACATGCGCGCGCCTCCCACTGGTCAGTTGGTCTTCGGGTCTCTGCTGTGCATGTGTGGGGGTAGGGCACCTATGGGAGGGCTGTACGCACATGCGGGGGGGTTTGGAGAGCATGCAGAGGGCACATGCGCATCTGCAGAGGGGGCATTTTGGGAGTTTGCGCACGTGCACTTTAGGCACTCAGTCCAGAAAAGATTAGCCATCACTGTATTAGTGTAATCATCATTTGTTGATTGGTTGAGCCTGCACAACACATTAAGGCATAAATCATATTTAACAACTACAATGGCAAAGTTTGCTAACTTTCAAGGAAGAGATGGCAGCCAATATTAGAAAACTTTCTGTGTTCCTAAAATGGAGGCAGGATTATCAGATGTATGCATTTAGAGTGGAGTGGAGTGGAGTGGGGTGGGGTGGGGTGGGGTGGGGTGGGGTGGGGTGGGGTGGGGTACGGTAGGGTAGAATAGAATAGAATAGAATAGAATAGAATAGAATAGAATAGAATAGAATAGAATAGAATAGAATAGAATAGAATAGAATAGTTGGAAGGTCTTCTAGTCCAACCTCCTGCTTAGGCAGGTACCCTACCCCACTTCAGACAAATGGTTATCTTAAAAACTTCCAGAATTGGAGCATTCACAACTTCTGGAGACAAGTTCTTCCACTGATTAATTGTTCTAACTGTCATGAAATTTCTCCTTAGTTCTAGGTTGCTTCTCTCTTTGATTAGTTTCTTCTCTCCTTGATTAGTTTCCACCCATTGCTTTTTGTCGTGCCCTCAGGTGCTTTGGAGAATAGCTTGACTCCCTCTTCTTTGTGGCAGCCCCTGAGATATTGGAACACTGCTATCATGTCACCTGATTCTTCTAGACATACCCAGTTCCTGCAACCATTCTTCATATGTTTTAGCCTCCAGTCCCCTAACCATCTTTGTTGCTCTTCTCTGCACTCTTTCTAGAGCCTCCGCATGTTTTTTATATTGTGGTGACCAAAGCTGGATGCAGTATTCCAAGTGTGGCCTTACCAAGGCATTATAAAGTGGTATTAACACTTCATGTGATCTTGATTCTATCCCTCTGTTTATGCAGCCCAGAACTGTGTTGGCTTTTTTGGCAGCTGCTGCACACTGCTGGCTCATATTTAAATGGTTGTCCAGTAGGACTCCAAGATCCCTCTCACAATTACTACTATTGAGCGAGGTACCACATATACTGTACCTGTGCATTTTGTTTTCCTTGCCTAAATGTAGAACCTTACTTTTTTCACCATTGAATTTCATTTTGTTAGATAGCGCCCGATGTTCAAGTCTGTCAAGATCCTTCTGTACCTTAAGCGTATCTTCCGGAGTGTTGGCTATTCCTGCTAGCTTGGTGTTGTCTGCAAATTTGATGAGTTCCCCATCTATCCCCTCGTCCAAATCATTGATGAAGATGTTGAAGAGAACTGGGCCTAAAACAGAGCCTTGGGATACCTCACTGCATTCTTCCCTCCATGTAGATGCAGTTCCATTGAGCACTATACATTGAGTGTGGTTGGTCAGCCAGTTACGAATCGATCTGGTGGTGATGCTGTCTAACCCACATTTTTCTATTTTATCTAATAGTAGGTTATGGTCTACTTTATCAAATGCCTTACTGAAGTCCAAGTAAATTATATCGACAGCATTCCTCTAGTCCACTAATTCTGTCACTTTGTCAAAGAATGCAATAAGATTAGTCTGACATGATCTGTTTTTGACAAACCCATGTTGGCTTTTGGTTATTACTTTGTTTGCTTCTAGATGTTTGCTGATTCGTTGCTTGATTATCTTTTCCAGAATCTTGCCTGTTATTGAGGTCAAGCTGATAGGTCTGCAGTTTCCTGGATCTATTCTCCCCCTCCCCCCCCCCTTTTTTTTTTGAAGATGAGAACTACATCAGCTTCTTTCCAGTCCTCTGGCAGTTCCCTGGTGCTCCAGGATCTTTGAAAGATATAGTTCAGTGGTTCTGAGATCTCATCTGCCAGTTTCTTCAGAACTGTATGTTGTACAGGGTGTAATTCATCCAGTCCTGGTGATTTGAACTCGTCTAGGGTAGACAGGTGCTCACTTACCATTTTCTTCCCTATTTTAACTTGTGTCCCTAATATGTTTAATATGAATCAGTTGCATACATTCATTCATCTTATCTAATTAAAAAAGGTAAAACAAAGGTCTATAATAAAAAAAACTGGGATATGAGATATATATCAAGGAAAAGGTGATAATATGCAGATATTATCATATGCATGTATTATCAGAGGAGGCCAAGCAAAGAAATCCTACCAGGCAAGTGGAAGTCAGCTTATATTGTATAAGATATATTTTCAATGAATTTATAGAATGGCCCATATTTAAGTGTTCTGAATTGAAACAATTGTACAGTAACCAAATTAACCCCCCTGATTTTTATAAAAATTAAATGTCTATTGCATTCACTGTATTGTATTTGAAATTAGCACTGTCTGTCAAATAACTTAGAAGACATTTTATATTTATCCTGAATGAAGTCAAGGTACTATTATTAGTTTTATCTTTGTGGCAAATAAACAGTTTCTAACTTATACCCTGCAGGAATTAGAAAATGGCAGAACATTGTGTTTTTTAAAGGATTACATTCTTTTTGCGTAAGAGAGAATAAGCGCTTTACATAAAAGGATGGGGATATAATCAATTTGTTGGGTAACTCAAAGCAATAATAATAGCTATAATAAATAAATAATAAAAAACATAATCTGGGGAAGGGGTAAACAAAAGCAACAACAACAAAAAGAACTGTTCTAATGATAAAGATAAAAGAATAAAAAGATAAAAGAATTAGACTCGGTAGATGGATACAAAGAGATGAACCCAAATGTAGCCATATCTGTGAGAACAAAGGAATCAGAGTAATATATTCCTTAAGTGAAAATAAATGGCTAGCCAGCAAGATTAGGAAACTTTGCGCTAAAGAACAAAGTGGGTCTCATCTTCAGAGTTTCTCTTTGCTCCCAAAGACTGTTTTGTTTGCTGAACAAAGCTTCTCAGCGACTGGTACTGATAACTGTCTATCTTGTGACAGTCAACTTTTATTAGCTCTCTCTGAAAATCATTCACCATTAAACACAGTTGGATTCATTTGTTATTTTGTTTACGTTTGCCCTTGTTAATGGTGCCAATGAAAATATCTTTAGTGTTGTCACTACTTCTGATCAGCCAGACTCATTGTTGTATCCATTTTGTCCTCAGGGTAAGAAGAGTGACTTTTGGGGCCTGCTGAACCTGAAGATTGCTTGACAGAAGTTTCTGAAAAGGTAAATAAAAATAAATTCATTTTTTTTCTTACTTGGTTTTTATTGCATTTTTACCTTGCTGGTCTGCTTGTCCATAAAAGCACCTCATCACACAGACATCAACATTTATATTTCCTGACATTCCTATCTAGGAATAAAATGAGCCTGAGAGCATCAGTATGATAAAAATCAAAATTAGTAGACTATCCTGCAACTGTGTTTATCCTACAACTGTGTTAAAATCATACTTATGCAGTGGAATGCTGTTTATGTTTATGCAAAAGTGACTACTGTTTTCAGTGAAAATTGCTTCTTAATGTTAAGAGTAGTCGCCTTGCAATTCAATCCTTACAAAACATTATAAAAGTTTTGTTGTTATGTTTCGTTTATGTTACGTGTAGGCTTTGTCATAGGCTTGGCTGGTAAGCAAGTTTGTTAAGTTTGTTATGAGTGATGGCAGAGTCTTTTCCGCTAGAAGAAGCAGTGAGTAGGATGGTTGGATTGTATTCCTAAAAGAAATATCACTCACTCATCTCAAGCAAATTTATACAGGAGAGTAGCCTAAGGCTGAAATACAAGGAACATTTGATTCAAAGTAACTTTGATTGAAATCAAGGAAACTTAAGATCCCAGGTTAATCTTGTACAATAGGTTGCTTCCTGCGATTCACTGCTATTTTTGAAAGTTCTTGATGAGAACCAGAGTGAAGCTAATGATGCGTTAGAGTATTCCTGTTTCTCTCTAATTTTGGAATACTTTTAAAATCTGTTTGTATATAGGTGCGCCTCTTGAATAGTTAATGATTAATGTCTTTGTCTTGGTAATGGTATCAGCACTGTCTAAAGAAACCTATAGTTTTTCCATCTTAGTACATTCAGAAATATTTGCTTTAGGAGTCACTACCTAAAAGCAAGTACTGTTGTTGTTCTACTTTACATTGGATCTTAATATAATCTGAAATGCAAATGAATTTAGACTATATGACAGGAGAGGCCATCTTTGGAAGTCAGTGAGAATACTGGATGTTTTCTATAAAAGGTTTTGTGGTGGATGTGGTCAGACAGAAAACATCTGTTTACCAGAATAAAAGCTGGTGAAGTTACTACTTACCATTTAATAGGCTTTAATCAGAGGTGGGTTTCAGCAGGTTCTGACCAGTTCTGGAGAACCGGTAGCAGAAATTTTGAGTAGTTCGGAGAACCGGTAGTAAAAATTCTGACTGGCCCTGCCCCATCTATTCTCTGCCTCCCAAGCCCCAGCTGATCGGAAGGAAAAGGGGATTTTGCAGTAACCTTCCCCTGGATTGGGGTGGGAATGGAGACTTTACAGTATCCTTCCCCTGCCACGCCCACCAAGCCATGCCACGCCCACCAAGCGACACCCACAGAACCGGTAGTAAAAACATTTGAAACCTACCACTGGCTTTAATACATTTCCCCCCCCCCCCCATACTTTTCCTTCAAGTTGTTCAAATAAATGAACAAAAAGGCAGGCAAACAAGGAACAAACAGGGATATGTCCATATGGGCCCCATGTTGCCTTCTTATGGTACATTGTTATATGTTGTTTTGCATTATACATGTACTATTCTGCACTTTATTGTATTATACTGTACTTTCTATAGGGGCCAACATTTGTATATTATATAATATTTGCTACAATTCAATTGTAAATATATATTTTTTTATAATATGAAATATTTATTTTGAAAATATCTAAAATGATATATTTATCTAAAGAATAAATATAGGCTTACTGCTTGCCTTTTTATGTTGATAAAAATATTATTTTGAGAGCTGCTTCTTCAAAATAATATGGTATGTTGAGAGTTCACAAAGTCACCTTTGCATTACAGGAAAAGTATGATGCATTTATCAACCCTGTTTTGGTTTACATTGTCACTCTGGTTGAAGTACTAATTGATTTAATTGTTGATAAGTGACATCAAGGTTTTCAGCAGGTTTCAATAGAATGTGAACTGTTAATAAGTTCAATAAATGGAATATATTTAAAATCAACTGTAATTATGGAATGAACAATAAAGGTTGTCATACAATAAGATATTCAGAAACCACATTTATGATAGTTTCCATTTTGCACTAAAGGGACCACTTTGAAGTACTATTTCCAAGTTTGACTAACCATGAAACTGAGGTGATTCAACTTGAGTAAATGTCTGTAGAGCAGAACATAGAAGCCAGAATGGAGGAAAGTGCAGTTGTTTACACAAGTGTGTGTTATTTCTTTAATGCATGAAAGGGAAAACACTGTCAGAAAAAACAGTTGACAAAATCTTATCTTCAAGTCTTCTCATTGCTACCCATTGCCACATTAATGTATCTTTGCTGCTGGCCATCTTCTTCTTTTTCTTTCCAAGCATGGATCATAGTAGCATGATAAAAACTGAATGTTCAGAGCACCTTCCTACAATTAAATCACATGGAATAGTTATGTACAGTCCTCAACTTTAGCAGTTTATTTAGTAACTCTTCAAAATTACAAGGACACTGAAAAAAGTGACTTATTACCATTTTTCACATTTACGACCATTGCACCATCCCCATGGCGATGTGATTAAAATGCTTGGCAACTGACTCATATTTATGACAGTTGCAGTGTCCCAGGCCTTGTGATCACTTTTTGCAAAATTCTGACAACCAAAGTTAATGGGGAAGCCAGCTTCAATTAATCATCAATCAACAATTGTGGCAAGAAAAGTCATAAAATGGGGCAAAACTCACTCAACAAATGCCTCACTTAGCAACAGAAATTTTGGGCTCAATTGTGGTCATTAGTCAAGGACTACCTGTATAGACACAGAGATGATCATGCTGTAGTCTCATTCTCTTTAATTGTGCATTTACTAAAATGTTAGCATAGTCTCTGTGTGAGGCAGAACTGAAGAGAGCAGTGTTCATGATGTAGCTCCATGACTGTGCTGAGAAAATAAATACACAAAGATGCCTTACACAACATCAGTAATGCCTCTTCTGATTTGTGTAATAACTTTTCTAGGTGTGTGACATATTTCCCCTCCTCACTGCCTTCTGAAAAAACCAGGTACTAAATCTGGTACATTGTAAATACAGAATAAGATACAACTCATATTAAACTGGTATATCGATTTCTGTCGTCATGCATTCCTCTCAAGTCCTGCCAGGCTGCCTCTTGTGGCAGGAGCACAATGATGTAATGGACAGAAGGAATAAGGAGGAAGAGCCACAACCAAGGCAACAATCAGATAAAGTTGGAAATGTTAAGGAGTAAAACTGAATGGGACTAAATGGTGAAGGAAAGAGAAATGAAGCAGGAGACAGACTTAAACGTTTCTCCCATTTCAATGATTTACACTGTTTATAAAATAATCCCTATATAAATGGACATCACCAGATATCCACACAGCTTAAAGAGGCTATATTATTGGTGTAAGGAAGAGGAAAAACTGAGTTACAACAGCAAAGACATAGCCAGGGGCTGGTTGATCATAATCTGTTTATGAGCAATTTCCAAGTCACGCTAAAAACAAAAGAAGAAAGTCAGCCAATGTCCATAATATGATCTTGAGCTTACACTCACCATTTTCAAGGAGAATATCAGGAATCACTTTGAAGTCCTGAAGCTCATTCGTATGGAACCACAAGAACTGAGGGATGAAATCAAAAGAAATTATTAAGGATGATTATCAAAAGGGACTGCCAAAGAGCAAGACACAGAAGAATGCTAACTGTAACAGGTAACAGGTAACAGATACTGAAAATTGCCAAGTAGAAAAAAGAAGCCAAAGCCAATAAAAATAAACAAGAAGAAACTTACCAAAAAATTTTTGGAAGATACCAGAAACAGTATTACAAACAAACAACTATGCAGACATTTAAAATCGAAACAGATAAGGAAAAACAACTGAAGTTTCCAAAAGTCAGAAGGAAGTTCGATTGGACTACATTGGACAGATAGTAATTGATTAAAAAGATTAAAGAAAAATGGTTTTAAAATTGGAGAAGAAATCTCAATAACCTACTTTATGCTGATAATCCTATTCTAATAGTTGAAATCAGAGGTGGGTGTCACATACTGTAACAACCGGTTCACCCAGCAACAAGTAATGTGAGGGCGCGCGATATCCTGCATGTGTGCAGCATCACAAAACACAGCAATTAGCTCATGCGCGCCATCCACACGTGTGTGCCGTCAAAAAAACAGCAATTCGCTCACGCATGCCTTCTACACATGCGTGCGGCATCAAAAGCAGTGATATAGGACGGGATTGCACCCGGGTGGGTGGGCGGGCAGGCCCACCCGCAGATCGCAACTACCAGTTCACACAAACCGGTCCAAACTGGCAGCAGCCCACCACTGGTTGAAATGATCAGTGCACTCCAGTAACAGAGGTCAAAAAGCACAGAAAAAAAATTGAAAACTAAGATTAAGATTATAAACTAATGAGAATAGCTAGAGGAACCAGTTTCATGGATTGATAGTCACTGAAGTGGTGGAAACTTTCTCCTTCTGTTTTGAATCTTAGTTCAGTGTTTTTACAACTCTGCTCTAGTAATGAAATTCAAGGAGAAAAAATGAGATTAAGATTAAATATAAATAAGTCCAAACTAATGACAATATGTACAGCAACCAATCTTAGAACTAAAAATGGAGACACTGCAGTAGAGAAGACTCCTGACAATATCATAGATAACTAAGAAAACAAAGAAATGAACGGCAGAACAAATCAATCCAGAATTCTCACTTGAAGAAAAACTGACAATTCAAATTATCTTATTTTGCCTATGTTCTGCAAATATTCGGCTGCTTCAAAGACTTCATTCTGGAAAGGTATAAAAGACAGAAAAGGAGACCACCACCAATATTAAGAATGAACTATAGTGGTAATGGGTGTACTGTTGTAAGACTAAATAGTAAGCTGGGGGCTATTCATCCCAATGAAGGTCTGCCTGTTTGGTTGATATCAAAATGATGGCACATAATTTATTTATTTATTTATTTTATTTAAATTTGTATACCGCCCT